AACACTGCTCATTTACATTATTGTTGTTTGAACGGTACAGAAGACTTGAGATCCACAGAACTGAAATAGTACCTTGCAGTTAAACATGATAGTCCTGTCATATGAGATGAAAAAAAAGGAGATATTTACAGTTCGTTAGCATCCTCTACAGTCTGTGTCGCACATTAACTTTTCCACAAACCGTCAGTCCAGCCTCACGTCAACTAATAAAACGTCTCAAAGTATATTCTTATTTACACAAACGCGCGCAGTCGTGTTTGTTGTCACATGCACATGCGATCACCAGTTTGTCCACAAAACATAAACCTTGTGCTGGCTGCTGATAATGTGTCAGACAAAGAGGAAAAAAAGGGGAACGGGGAAACACAGCAGTCGATTAAATTGAAATGTAGGAATGTGCTCCAGAACCTCTAGCTGAAATTAACCTGTGAAAATAAAATACTTCCACAGGTACGGGATCTTTAAACTTGTAACGTGCATAGAATATATAAAGAAATACCGTTGTTAATTAATAAAAAGAAAATTATTAAAACTTTTTATACTTACCCACGTATGCCACTGTCATACGAAAACTAGGTTTACGCTAATCGATACTGTGGTGTCATATAAGGAACAGGTTCATGTTGCATTGGACTTGAAATGACATTGTGTGCATGTAAAATGGAAATAATTGGAAAAAACATTTTTTAACTGTAACATTAAACTGACAGTGGAAGATGCAATCAAACACAGTCCACCACTGAGTTGTCCTCTTCCTCTGCACCCCACTCCCCAAATCTCATCTGAGGAGACGGAGCAGCCGGGTGGAGGTTGTTAATGTCGTCAATAGCGTCTGGATCGGTTTCATCATTGCCTCCGACTCCCATGTGTCCACTTTCCTCTCGGTGGGTTCGGATGTGTTTTCGGAGCGCCGCGGGCTCCTTGAAGCTGCGGCTGCAGAAGGGACAGCAGCAGGGTCTCTCTCCGGTGTGGATGAGCTGGTGGTGCTTGAGATGCTGCAGCCGGCTCAGACGTTTCCCACAGATGGCACACACGTAGGGTTTCTCTCCTGTGTGCGTGCGTCTGTGTTTGCGCAAACCGTCCAGATGTCGGAAACTGTTGCCACACTCAGAGCAGGAGTAAGGCTTCTCCCCCGTGTGGATACGCAGGTGAGTCTTCAGAGCGCCTGACTCTCGGAAGTGGCGTCCGCACACTCCACAGGGGTAAGGCTTCTCCCCCGTGTGGATGCGGATGTGCTTCTTCAGGCTGGAGATTAAACGGAAAGTCTTTCCGCACTCTAAGCAGTGGTGGGGTCTGTCTCCAGAGGGGTCCACGGGTGTGTCCAAGGCTGAAGGTCCTGCGGATTCCTCCGCTCTGCCTGGTGAAACTCCATCTCCTCTCCCCGATACTGCCGTCCTCGTCAATGCTTTGTGAGAATCTAGTCCTCCCTGCTCCATGGCATTACGGCATTCTCGAACAGGTCTTTGGTGGCCCAAAGACTGAGTATAGGGACGCTGAGAACCTCCCTCTCCAACTTGTACATAAACAAGGTCACCTACGTTGTGAGATGATCGTTCTCCATCGCCAACTCTGTTGTCATCGCGCAGACCAGAGTCCTTCCTGCTGGGCTGCTGGGCTCCCTGCTCCTCTTTGATCTCAAACCTGGGGGGTCCACCAGGTGCCTGAGACTGTCGGTCATCTGGGGACAACAACCAACAGAGGTCAATGACGAGACATTACCTCTAAAGAACATAAATGTGTTGCAAAAAAAGAACCACAAGACATTTTGTTCCTAACTATTGTATTTCCAGATGGATCAAACTACAGGAAGCTGGTGGAATTGCATGACTGTAGGCAGTGATTTTCAACATTATAAAAGAAAATAATAATACAACAAGACTGTAGGCAGTGAATTTCAACATTATAAATGAAAATAATAATTCAGCACACATTTTCTAGTCAAAGGTCTAAATTTTGCAACTTAAAGATTTCCAGAACACACCATTAAACCCTAGAGAGTGCTATTTTTCTTTAAATAAACTGTCCCTCAGTATTAAATGTTAAATATTTTGGTAAAATATTCAGCCTCAATTACAAAAAAAAAAAAACAACCACTTCATTGCAGTGCACATACCTTGCCTGTTGGAATCTGAACACATATGAGACGTGTTGGATCCAAAGGTGTCCAGAGGATGGGTGGTCACTGAGCCGTCTGGTTGGATCGAGAGCTGACACATTTTGTAGTCGTCTCTTGGCTCAAACCCATGAAGTGAATCATCAACGGAGCCGCCAAGACCCAGATCAACACCGGGTCCATTTACATTTCTGGAACTCTGGTGATCCCGATCCAGACCTGAGGTCATTGATCCCATGGAAGACAGAGGCGGAGCAAAAACCGACTGGCTGGGACCTGAGTACGAGATCTGCAGCTGGTCGATGAGCTTCTGTGCGTTGCATAGACACTCCTGCAGGGTCTTCAGTTCCCTCTCTGACACCTCCAGCCGCACTTTGAGTCTCTCGTTCTCCTGCTCCTTGTGCAGCAACTCCTGTTGGGTCTCGTTAAGCACCAGCACCACTTCTCCCAGCAGAGTGTCCACTGCAGTGGACATGGCAGTCTGAATCGTCGGTGCAAGGCGAGACTTCAGGGTCGTTACAGTCATACTTCCCTGAGAAACCCCGTATCCTATAGCCTTATCTGGCTTCCGATCATAACAGGAGTCTGCCCCGGTCCTGTCAGTATTTATTATGTTTTGTTTACGATTTCCACTTTGGCCTGAGCCGCTATTTGACTGAGATGGATCCATGTTACCAACATAGCCTGCCCTCCTGGAACTCATGCTTTATATTGGAGTCACAGGCTACGATAACGTTTGTAAATGATCTATTTAAAGAAGCACAGGTTTAAAATTAAACTAAATTAATGTTCAGTTTTAGCAACAACCGTTGTGTGAGTCTCATCTGCAGTTGTTACCTGGCGTCGCTGGTATAAAACAGTGGTGAACTCTTCTCCGGGCCTGCTTCCGCTTGCTAATATTAGCCGGTTAGCATGAAAGTAACTATTTAAAATAAACCGTTAACAATTACAATTTTCCCCAAAGCTTACGACTGGAGCTGCCCATAACCGGTGCAACTTAAATTCGCACATAACATAATAATAGTGTAAACAGCGGCCTCAATTGTAGCAAATTCTGATCGCGACACTATACCGAGCTGTTAATGCAGACAGAGGCCTGTCGCAGTAGATTGACGTCATCAAAACAAGCCATTCCAGAGACGCGTTCAATCGATCTCTGAGTTTTGACCGTGAGGTACTTATTTATTATCTTTCAGGTGATTTCAAAATTAACATCACGGTTTTTTATTGTTCTGCTTTAAAACGTATCTTTAATACATTTTGGTCGGTTTTAATATGCTGATTGGTAGTACTGTACACGATAGACGCAAATATAGCTCCCTCTAGTGGCCTGCTACGCAGTTGCAAATAGGCTGTGTTACACTTAAAATATACAAACGTTTGTTTTTTTGTCAAACCTAGTATCATATGTCTCAGTACATTATTGGCATCAATCTCTGTTTATCATATGAGAATAAAGTGTTTATTTAAACAAAATATAAGTTTACGTCTGCGGGTGACCAAGTGAACATAATTCCCAAACTCTTCGCGATTGTAAAATAATCCATTAAATCAAGTTCAAATAGTATGTTTCTGAACTTGCCTAATTAAAAATTAGCCCCAAATAGTAAACAATGTCACACGGATTTTTTTTGGACTGCCTGTAAGTCAAGCTCAGGTTGAAACAACCTCTAAAAATTAGTAGCAGCCATTTGAGGGCAAAAAGAAGAAATGTTGCACTCGTGGGGTTTTTTACCCTAACCCCCATAGTCTGTTGGTGAAAGAAAAATGACACAAAGTGGTTCAGGGACGTCAGCTTTAACCTCACGGGGAGTCTGTAGGAGAGTGAAAATAAAGCAGCATGATTCAATTATGTAGTAAAAACAGAAAGAAAAAAAACTAAATCATGACGTAAACTTCACAGAAAGAAAGAAAAAAAAACTAAAACGTGACGTGAACTTGTTTATATATTTTAAAAGCCACAGTTCAGGCCGATGAACTCTATAACTATATTCCCGCCCGCTGTACTATATGAGTGTTTATTTCTGTTGACTGTAGGGGGCGTTGTAGGCTGCTCTACAGTGAAATTTGTTATGGAGTTGAGAAAAAAAAACATCTGACATTAACGGTTGACATTTAATGAAAATAAACTAACGCATAATTCAACAAAAATAAATCAGTTAAGGTATTATTTAAATACTATGTTGTGTTCGTTGTTTTGTGTGTTTTTTTTAAGAACTAACAATAAAAAGTCAACACATTCATTGACCAATAGATTAATACGTAGATAGTTAATAAAGTTAACTCAAAGCTTTTAGCTCCTACCATATAAAGTCACTTTTGTTTTAAATTCAGAGTTAAAGTTTATTCAATTCTGACACAAAATGAAGACACCCATTCTAGCTATTTTACAGCTAACGGGGCGCTCTATTTTCAATGGAAATGTAATTGATTTTTGTCACGTATTTTTTCCCTTTTTTTTAGCAATTCTTTGTTTGTTTTAAAACTAATGTTCAGTGTTGCAAACCTGGCCTTTTGTCCCATGTAGAACAATACTTTATGGGGATGTTTTGATTGAAAAAATACAGTGATGTGGCCCAGTGCTGAGAGCAGGAGTCGGCTGTGTCATAACAGCAACCATGTGTTTAGATTGTATCATTTCTTGTAAATAATTTGTCTTTCAGTGACTTCATCTCTCTCTCCACCTCTGTGTCCGTCACACCGTATTTGGTGTTGTTAAAAAATCTCCGTGTCACATTTTCTTCTGGGTTACTTGAGCGCGGCTATAAAGTCTTTACAGCTGCTGACTCCATCTGAGAGCAGAAACATGTTTGTGTCATAAAAACATGTTAAATCAGTCAGTGTACAGTCACATTCACACACACACACACATCCTGGGTGTAATGATCTCGCCCCCCCGCTTCACACCCACACTCTTTGACTTCCTGTACGGAAAAATGCAAAGGTGGAAAAACTAAAATGGAAAAAACAAACAAACAAACAAACAGATCTGTTATTTATAACAAGTAGAAGGAAGGAAGAGGGGATAAGACGAAGTTTGCTGATGCAACGTTACTCAAGCTTATCCCTTTGCGGATTTACATAAAAGCCAGGAAACATACTGTACATACAGAGGCCTGGCAGATGTTTTAATATTCAGCTGAACCGTCGTTACCTTTGATGAGAAGCAGAAATTCACTACAGCTGACAAAAAAAAAACCAAAAAAACATTTGTCATTATTCTGTTTTTATGAGAGTTGAGTTTGACCACAATTCAACGCAGGGATCGTAAACACAAACTACCTGGGGCCCAGTAATCGTCCAGTTTTGACAGAAGGAGGGCGGGGGCCGTCATCTTAAACATTTTGACCTCAAATCCAGCAGAGCGGTTAAAAAGTCCTGGCATGAACTCTTTTTTTTGTCATTTCCTGACTAATGCCTGCTGTCAAACACCCTAACTTTTCTTCCCTCCTCGCAGCTGAAGCCCATTTTCTCCGTGGAAGGAAATCAAAATAAGTCTTTTGTGGATTTTGATTTGATTTAAATTGAATTTTGATTTGTCTTTTTGCTTCTAATGAACTGTTGTTTTGCCTTCAGGCGAGTGACATTTTCACCTTGTGCGCAAATCGTGCGCCGGTTCTCAAAATCGGGGGTGTGGCCTTCCCTAAGGGCCTGCTGCACTTTTACTTTAATTGGGATATCCCACTGATTAAAAGGTTTAATTATTTATATTGAAATATTTTCTAGAAATGTAATTACTTATGTGACCCACACGGGGCATCAAAGTATAATAAGTAGACCAGGTTAACTTTTACCATATTTTTTTTCCATTTCTGGTAATGTCACCTTCTGTTGTCGAATGCAGTAAATGACAATAAAAATCTTAATCATCTTGAAACATTTGCAAAATGGTGCTACTTGTTTAAATAGAGAAACCACGCCCCCATGTGGAAACTTTTTCCTACATATAATATTCAGTGGTTTTACAGTAACCTCTGTCTGTTAACCAAACACAGAAATGCTGATTCATGCTCCTCCAATTCACTGAGCAACAGCTGTGAGTTGAGTTGATGTCATCACTGTAAAAAAAAAAAAAAGTCAGCTGACAGTTCAGTTTTTTTCAGTCGACTTCAGTGTTTTAGTAACGAGATGTTATTCAG